TATACCACCCTCAGTGTCTGGCTCAATATATAATGATAGGAGTCATGCTATACCAACCTCAGTGTTTGGATCAATATATAATGATAGGAGTCATGCTATACCACCCTCAGTGTCTGGATCAATATATAATGATAGGAGTCATGCTATACCACCCTCAGTGTTTGGATCAATATATAATGATAGGAGTCATGCTATACCACTCTCAGTGTCTGGATCAATATATAATGATAGGAGTCATGCTATACCACCCTCAGTGTCTGGATCAATATATAATGATAGGAGTCATGCTATACCACCCTCAGTGTCTGGATCAATATATAATTATAGAAGTCATGCTATACCACCCTCAGTGTCTGGATCAATATATAATAATAGGAGTCATGCTGTACCACCCTCAGTGTCTGGATCAATATATAATGATAGGAGTCATGCTACCTTCAGTGTCTGGGTCAATATATAATGATAGGAGTCATGCTATACCACCCTCAGTGTCTGGATCAATATATAATGATAGGAGTCATGCTATACCACCCTCAGTGTCTGGATTAATATATAATGATAGGAGTCATGCTATACCACCCTCAGTGTCTGGATCAATATATAATGATAGGAGTCATGCTATACCACCCTCAGTGTCTGGATCAATATATAATGATAGGAGTCATGCTATACCACCCTCAGTGTCTGGATCAATATATAATGATAGAAGTCATGCCACCCTCAGTGTCTGGATCAATATATAATGATAGGAGTCATACTATACCACCCTCAGTGTCTGGATCAATATATAATGATAGGAGTCATGCTATACCACCCTCAGTGTCTGGATCAATATATAATGATAGGAGTCATGCTATGCCACCCTCAGTGTCTGGATCAATATATAATGATAGGAGTCATGCTATACCACCCTCAGTGTCTGGATCAATATATAATGATAGGAGTCATTCTATACCAACCTCAGTGTTTGGGTCAATATATAATGATAGGAGTCATGCTGTACCACCCTCAGTGTTTGGATCAATATATATATTATTGATGGGGTCATGCACCTCAGTGTGTCTGGATCAATATATGGTAGAGTCATGTCTTACTCAGTGTCTGGGTCAATATATAATGATAGGAGTCATGCTATACCACCCTCAGTGTCTGGATCAATATATAATGATAGGAGTCATGCTATGCCACCCTCAGTGTCTGGATCAATATATAATGATAGGAGTCATGCTATACCACCCTCAGTGTCTGGATCAATATATAATGATAGGAGTCATGCTATACCACCCTCAGTGTCTGGATCAATATATAATGATAGGAGTCATGCTATACCACCCTCAGTGTCTGGATCAATATATAATGATAGGAGTCATGCTATACCACCCTCAGTGTCTGGATCAATATATAATGATAGGAGTCATGCTATACCACCCTCAGTGTCTGGATCAATATATAATGATAGGAGTCATGCCACATTCAGTGTCTGGGTCAATATATAATGATAGGAATCATGCCACCCTCAGTGTCTGGATCAATATATATTGATAGGAGTCATGCTATACCACCCTCAGTGTCTGAATCAATATATAATGATAGGAGTCATGTCACCCTCAGTGTCTGGATCAATATATAATGATAGGAGTCATGCTATACCACCCTCAGTGTCTGGATCAATATATAATGATAGGAGTCATGTCACCCTCAGTGTCTGGATCAATATATAATGATAGGAGTCATGCTATACCACCCTCAGTGTCTGGATCAATATATAAATGATAGAGTCATGCCACCACCCTCAGTGTCTGGATCAATATATAATGATAGGAGTCATGCTATACCACCCTCAGTGTCTGGATCAATATAT